TTCGGTGTGTAATCCTTACTGTGTGAGAGTAAGAAGTGAGTGAGAGAAAAAGGTGAAGGCCACTGTTGAACCAGAGTCGCTAGAGGGGAGGATCCAACAACAGACTAGAAGCTGCCAACGGCTGCTACATATCAAGAGAGGGCAGATTGGTAAGTGCGGACACCAAGGAAAAGCATAAGCATTTCTCAATGGGGACAAGAAATTCGTGATCAAAACCTGCTATGTGTGGCAGAACAAAGAAGATAAGAGAAACAACTGGAGATAACGAATATCTGTCATGAAAACAGCATGATGATGCAAAACCCACTGATCCTGATGGAGAAGGACCTTTATGAAAGAAGGACGGCTTTCCCATAACAGCCAGGTTCGTCGTGGCATTCTCAGACTTGAACCTCCTTCAGGGTTGAAGCAAAGCTGGGTCCTCCCTTTCACTTAGTTTATTTGGCCACCAGCCAAATGCGGGCATCAGACCGCTATCTAGACCATTAGTGGCAGGTGTGTGTGTGTGTGTGTGCCTGTCTATGTAAGCATATGCTAATTTCTTGTTTCAGCAGGCGGTGGTGGTTTTGTTGCAGCCCACTTTCAAATTCCTGCAGCGAGCCCTGCCAGAGGGTACACCCCACCCTCTTCCCCAGAAGCCCTCCATCTCTTTTTCTTGGGCCCCTGTTCCGTAGGTTCCCTGGCCTCCTCATCCATGGACCTCTGCATCTGCAGTTGGTCTGTTTCCAAACCGCGCCCAGAGACCATCTGTACACGATCATGCTCCATACGTTGCATTTCCTCACCCTTGTGTCCTGCCCCGATACCAAATCACAGGACTATGGAAGACCTGTTGAGGGTGAAGAACCCCAATGGGCCAGGGCTTACTCCATCTTAATCCCACAGCCCATTGGGGTCACTCCAGCCTGACTAGACAGATACCCTTTTCTCCTTGTCAAACCAAGCCTAAAATAAATTGTCCGACGTCTTCTGAATCCCCTTTCCACTGCTCTGTGACAGTCAAGCCCTTCATATTGATAATATGATGAAAATAAGGATGACAACTTACAGCCTATTTTTGCCTTATTCAGATGAAGAGATTGTCAGAGTTTGGTAACATTTCAGATGCAGAGGCTCTGATAGAGACAAAATGCCTATCGAATGTGTCTGCAGAAAGACCTCAGCATCACAATAAAATCCTGATGAAAGAAAAAAAAAACTGCTTTACCATTGTACGCTCCATAAATGCGGCGTTTTGCCTTTTGCCTTTTGCCCATAGAATGATGCCGAGTGCTTCTCGTACACATGGGCTACATCTAGACTGGCATGATTTTCCGCAAATGCTTTTAACGGACAAGTTTTTTGTAGAATTGCCAAATTTCAGAAAAGCCTCTTTAGAAAGAAAATTGCAAAAAGATATGCAGTTTGCGGTATGCATATCTCCTCATTCCACGAGGAGTAACGGTAGTTCGAACTAGGAAACCTAGTTCGAACTACCTAGTTCGTGCCGCGTGTAGCCGCGCAGCACGGGGTTTGAACCAGCGGGGATTTAAAAATGACGGTGCCCCGCTTATGCAAATGAAGCCCGGGAAATTCAAATCCCGGGCTTCATTTGCAATTGCGGTATGCCTACCTTACCCTGCTATTTTGAAATAGGAGGGTAGTGTAGACATACCCTCTGACACAATGGACTGTCAGAGACCCTCTCTTTTACAACCTCCCATCCGCTTTGTCGGGTGGCTCCAAATCTGCCCCATCAGCTCATCAAGGCCTCCATCTTGGACAAAAGTGGAGCCGACAAACTGGCCGGGCCCCTGGCCAAGATGGAGGAGCCCTAACCTGGGCTAAGGCCGAAGCCCATCCCACACTCCAAACCCCTTGACCCAAGACCAGAGCCTACACCCTAACCTCGTACCCCAGCCTGGTGAACGTGAATGAGGATGGGGGAGGAAGGGAGATGGAGTGAGCGGGGGAAGGATTGGGAAGGAAGTGCTGCAGGGCTGTTTGGGTTTGAGGTGGATCTTACATTGCACTTGAATTGAAAAACTGATGTTGTGGCTAAGTAGGTTGGAGAGCACTGCTCTAAGAGACTGTTTCTCTGTGGTACGCCCCTCTCATCTAGCGGATCCAGGCCCTTGCTAACTGTACAGCTGCCATTGGTAAAGAGCTCTTCTGAAAGCATTTGGTCAATTCTCCTAATTCATGTAAGACATTTAATACAGCAACAGTGAAATGGTAATTAGTGTCAGAGAGTTCATTAGGGCTGTACGTTACTATTGGGCAATTACTTTATAAGATTTCCCATTCAAAATATTGAACAAGAGTCTCCTAAGCACATCTCAAAGCACTTCCAGTAAAATGTTGAAAGACCCACTTTACTTCATTTGGAGGTTTCAGTGACAGAGTCTCGTTTGCTTTGACTCATTAAGGTCACACTCCAGAGTGGCTTTGAAGGGAGGGTGGATCTCACAGAGGATGGAGATGATCCTAGAGCCAACCCAATGGAGATGATCAATTAAATTTCTTAGCCTGAGAGACTCTGCTTTGGGATGGAGATTTCCGTATATCACAGAATCAAAGAACAAAACCTAATGTATCAACATAAAAATAATACGGACATATGTGACCCTTACCCAGGCTGCATTTATCTGCCTCATAACAGCTTCCTACTATAGTAATCTTGGGCCAGCCACTCACTTCCTGCTCATTTAGGGGACCAGGATAAGTGAGGAGAGCTGTGTCCCTTGATCCTATCAGACCACTCTGTGCTCATGAGACTTCCGGATGCCTTTGTCTCTGTGTCCCTCCCACCAGGGTGGGCAAGACAATTCTCTGCCTGCACTTGGCAGGTGCTGGGTGCAGAAGCTGCACAGGGACTGGCAGGGACATCCTCCACACCTGGGTAACAGACGAAAACATGCTTGGAAATATGCCCAAGAAGAACCTCCCCAGAGAATTGCACTTAGTGACCATGGGATACTGAGATTCTGAAGAGGATCCTGCCTAGCCTGGCTCCTGTAAACACGCGGTTCTGGAGGAAGTCAGGTGAGTGACGGCTGGAAGGATTCACTGCTCCTTGTCACCATTGATTACACAGGATCATTCTCTTTCTCTCCCACTATCCTCTCTCCCCCCTCCTCCTGCATGTTGTTTCCTGACCATCCATGGCCAGCCAACATCCTGTCACATGTCTCTCTCTCTGTCCTTGTCTGTCTGTCCAGTTCTCCCCCTGGGTTTAATTGTCTCTCTGCCACTTGCTGTCAGTCCAGGCTGCTCCCCACCCCTGGGCTTTTCTCCATGTTTCTCTCTGTCCCCTGCATCTCCAAAGCCACGGGGATTGGCTGGTCCATGGCAAGTGGCTGCGGAGGGGCTGGAATGAGCAGTGATAACAGCGTTGGGGGATCAGTCGCTGATTTCCCCATCTGCTCTCTGCCAACAGGCGTGTGCGAGAGAGAGGGGCAGCGGGAGACACCGGCATCCCACAGCAGCGGTTCCATGATGGCTGAGCTGAGCACAGAGACCCTGCCACCAACAGCCTTTAGCCTGGATTACAAAGCTTTCAATAATGACACTGGATGCCCAGGGATTCGGGCCCCTAATGGGACCATTCTGAGCATCACTCTGATCATCTGCCTGTTGGGGCTGGTGGGAAACGGGATCGTCATCTGGTTCCTGGGCTTCTGCATGAAGAGGAACCCCTTCACCGTCTACGTCCTCAACCTGGCCGTCGCCGACACTGGCTACCTCCTCTGCTCGGTTGCCCATCGTACCACTTCCATAGTGCGATATCTGTTTTGTGGCGATCCTGAGTTTTTGGACATATGGTTTGCAGTGCTGTATGTGTGGACGTACAACACCAGCCTGTACATCCTGACGGCCATCAGCACGGAGAGGTGCGTGTCCGTCCACTTCCCCATCTGGTACCGATGTCGTCGGCCCAGGCACTTGTCTGCCACCATTTCTGCCCTGCTCTGGGCTCTCCCCATCCTGCTGTTCTGTTCCATGAGCATTTTTTGTCTTCTTTTTTTCAATGAATTCTGTGCAAATTCCCTCCTGTGCATCTTCATTCTGAATGTCCTGATATTCTCCCCCATCATGGTTCTGTCCAGTCTGATCCTCTCCATCAAGGTGCAACGAAGCTCCCAGCGGCGCCCGCCCGGCAAACTCTATGTCGTCATCCTGCTCACCGTCCTCTTCTTCCTCCTCTTCACTCTCCCTCACAGTGTTGCGTTTTTCCTCTCCGACCTGCACATTATTAAGCCCACTCCGATAGTTTACACACTTTCCTGTGCAAGTAGCAGCATCAACCCCTTTATTTACTTTCTAGTCGGGAGCTACGGGAAGCGGCGATTCCGTGGCTCTCTCAAACTCTCACTCCGGAGGGTTTTTGAAGAGCAGAGAGATTCTGGAGAAGACAAAGATCCCCGCCACAGCACAGACCCAATAGAGACAGTTGTTTAAAGTCCTTCAGCAGCCAGCCTGGGAGACCTTTTCTGGGCATGGAGATTTCCCTTGATCCCAGAGTCAAAGCACATAGAAAGGGAAAAGACCTTCCTAATTCTTCCCCACCCCTGCCCTAGTGTGGATCCCCAGGGCTCATTTGCTGCTCTCAACCACGATAGGTCTCTCCGCACCTGATCTGGTTCCCACTGGAATCAGTTAGCAAAGTCCAAGTGATTTTAGTGAGTCACAGAAGGTCAGTGTGTTAGCCTGTGTCTGCACAAACAACGGGGAGTCTTGAGAATCAGTTTTGAACCCCTGTCCTTTCAATTCCAAGTGATGTTTCGCTTAGGAAATGTAACTGCCAAGTGAAATGCCCAAATTCTCTGGTTGTAAACTGTCCAAATCTTTCGACATCTTGGCTGTGTCTAGACTTGCCAGTTTTTCCGGAAAATCAGCCACTTTTCCGGAAAAATTTGCCAGCTGTCTATACTGGCCACTTGAATTTCTGGAAAAGCACTGACGATCTCATGTAAAATCATCAGTGCTTTTCCGGAAATACTATGCTGCTCCCGTTCGGGCAAAAGTCTAGACACAGCCTCACAGGTTTATTTGGGCTTCAGCTAATCCAAACTGAGATTTGAATCATTCCCTTTTACGCCGATGGCAATAGTACAAAGTAACCCACCCCCTGGTCACATCTCAGGTCATCTATCAGCATTACCAGGTTGCAAGGGAGGGAATCTCACTGGCCATTGGAGAGAGGGAGAGGAGAGCACTGAGCACAGAGGTAAGAGACCAAGGTGGTCTGGTTCAGTAGAGAAGCCATCCACAGAACTGGGGATCCGGCACCCGCTAAGGGACTCTGAGCTTCACCCCACGCATGCACCAGTATGGTGAGGAAAGCGAGGCAGGGCAACGGGGTTGGTGTTTATTGTCGTGTCGAGATTTGTTTATGTCGTGCACTCGCTACAGCAAAGAGGCATGGATCTGAAACCCTTTTGCAAAGCCTGTGTGTGCATTTGCTTCACTGTCCAGTCCTCTGAAGAGTGGCAATGGAAACCCTGTCTGCTCACAGGAGGGCCGGTCTGGGAAATGGTTTGTCTAAGCTACAGAGAAGGGGATGGAGCTGTGGGATGCCCACAAGGAACTCTCTAGCAATAGCTGGTGCTGCCACAGGAGCAAGTCAGCTGATCAGCATGTCACCAGGGAATCCTATGTCAATAATATCTCTATTCTATGGCTGATTGTGTTGCTAGTGTGTTGGGCTTTAGGAGGCATAGGAAGTTGCTAAAGCCCGCGCTGTCTATCCTCTATTTAGCTGTATGAGCCTGAAGAACTGGTGCTGAAAGATAAACTTAAAAAACAACAAATGTTTTGGTAGCATTTCAAAGAGCAGCAAACCATGTAGATCAGCGGTGCCCAAGCTTTTTCAGATGGAGACCCATTTTGACAATTCAGGAAGACTTGGTGACCCAAGGCAATTCAGAAACGGGGGGAAGAAGGAGGGCAGAGCCACCAGGTGAGACATTTGGTGACCCCTTTGAAATATAATGGCAACCCATATTTGGGCCCCCCTCCCCTGGTTGGGAAACCCTGATGGAGATGGTATCATGAGCTTCCATGCGCACAGCCCAGTTCTTCACATGGACTGTGCCCACGAAAACTCATGATATCATCTACGGCTGTGTCTACACTGGCACCTTTTTCCGGAAATGCTTAAAACAGAACAGTTTTCCATTTTAAGTATTTCCAGAAAAGGAGTGTCTACATTGGCCCCGGAGTTACCGTTATAACGATGCGCTTTTCCGGAAAAACGCGTCTACTTTGGCGGCGCGCTTTTCCGGAAAAGCAGAAGCCCGGAGCCATTTTGAAGAGGGTAAAGGCCACCAGACCTTTCCGGGGGCGGGGCCAGAGCGCCGTTCAGACACGTGCTTAAAGGGGTCTCGCTGGACAGCCGTTGGTCTCCTGCTCCCGTGCCTTGGGACCTCTGCCAGGGACTGGCACCCTTAGCAGGTTTGGTGGTTGCCCTCTGAGTTTTGGAGACACCACCCTTTGGCCCGCAACTGCTTTTCCCTGCGGGTTTTTTTTTCTGCCCTGCTCTGTCTGCTACGGAGCCGTGGGTGGCCATGTGCCTGCTCGGGCCCCTGTTGCAGCTGTACAAGTGCCTGCTGCTCGTGCTGCAGGCCGGTGCCATGGTGTACATGTACCAGGAGGCAGAGATCGCCTTGGACTCCCTCACCAGGGAGGCCCTGTCAACCATGTCGCATCAGCACCCCACCATGGAGAGGCCAGTCTGGAGTTTGGACACCAGCACCGACTGGTGGGACCGGGGGGGCCCCCGGCTATGGGACGACCAGCAATGGATCAGGAATTTCCGGATGAGAAAACGGACCTTCCTGCAGCTGTGCACCTGGCTCACCCCCGCGCTGCAGAGAGCCACCACCCGGCTGTGGGCACCCATCCCCGTGAACAAGGGGGTCGCCATCGCGCTCTGGAAGCTGGCCACACCGGACAGCTACCGCTCGGTGGCACAGCAGTTCGGGGTGGGAAGATCAACCGTCGGAGTGATCGTCGTGGAGGTAAGTCCCAGGGGGAGTGGGATGGGGGGAGGGTGCTGTACTCCAGGACCAGGGACAGCCAAGACTCCAGGCTGGGTCGCCCAGGGGTTTGGGCCATCCCTCCCTTGCACAGGCGCGGTGGTGGTGGGGGGCCGTGGGCTGAGGGGGGCCCCGGGGTGTGTGTGTGTGTGTG